ATAAAAAAATAATTAATTAAATTATATTAGTATAATGGTATTATAAAAAAAACTAACGGTAGTTGAAACTAATGGTGGGTTCGTGGAGCACGCTATTTGCGCTATTTGGTACTACTTTTCATGCACAAAATTGCTCCGCGAACAAAAACTAGTATCAAATAGCGCAAATAGTACACTCTAGCAGAACCTTTCGGTACACCCTATGTCCAAACTTTTCCAACCAATCTTCCATTATAAAAAAATAAAATAAATACCATAAAAAATAGAAGTAACAAACGGATAACCAAAATAGAACATAATAAACTAACAAGAATTAACAACTAGAACTAAAAAATGAACTTATGGAAATTCATCCATCCAGGAATTCAAACAAATTGAGCTTCTTACCGATTCTGAATTTAGCCGGTTTCTGTGTTTTCTTATTACCAGTGCAGCCTTCGAAAAGAGCTTTTCTGCGGGAACAGAAGTAGTCGGTGTACAAAAAAAAATCGAAATAATAGCCCAAAACCCATAAATCGAAATTAACCTTACTTATTCTTATTCAGCTTTTATTTGGTAATGGCTCCTGTTTCGTTAAACGGGCGAGTTGACGTAGTTCGTTTGCGGTCCGTTAAGATTTTTTTTTGCTAAAATTATCATCGTTGTTGTTCATTTTTCGTATTACATTTTGTATACGACGCTTTCTATGAAATAAAATATATAAATATTATTACCTTTTTGTAAGAATGTAAAATTTTTCAAGACAAGAAATTTCAAGAGTCTTGCAAGACAAGACTTTGCCATTCAAGAAATCTGCAAGACAAGACTTTGAAAATGTCTTGTCTAGAATTACAAGACAAGAAATTGATTTTCAAGACAAGAATTCTTGTCTTGTGCAACACTAACAGCCATTGCAGAAAAACTCAACGCAGCTTTACTAGAATATTTTGAAAGGGAAAGCTGTAATAATGGCCCTTTATGTCCTTAAGTGCTGTTAAGGAGGTGAGTTTTGTTGATGTAAAATAACTCTTCATACATTTATAATTACTTCATTTTTATTTCCTAAAATATTCTGATTAAAAGAAAATATGTAAAAGTGGGCAACGCTGTGCTGGGCAAGCTTAATCACATGACTATTTATATAGTTTATTTGATATGATCTATATAACTAAAGTCTATCCAAAAAGTCATATTTCGACAGATGACACCCAAAAATTGACAGAAAATACAATTTACTTGCGGATAGATGTTCTACATCTAAAATAATAAATTGTAGAATAAATAATAAATAACAAATAACATAAAAAATACGCTGAGTAAAGACAAATACAATGGACAACATTTCAAATCAAATTCAAATGTTTCGATTTAAACGTCAAACAGACTTGTCAAGGATGGGGACCTATAATGACGATTCCATCCAACATGCATGAATACATAGACAGTATCATACTCTTTTCTGAATCTTTTTATTCAAAGCAAAAACATGAGCAGTATTATTGCCTTGAAAAGAACACAACAATACTCCGAATAGAGAAATATATGATAATATGTGTTCACCCGCCGTGAAAAGAGCACTGACATTGCACATAAAGCACAATAAACATATTTTTACAAACCCCTAACATATATTATTCATCACATCAATTTGGTACAACAAGAAGACCCAAGAGCATCCTTGTTTTAACTAAATAATTATGGTCTTAGAATTATTACTTCCTAGAATATCAAATATCATAATTATTATAAAATAAAAAAAATATCAAAAGACATTGCTGTATACTACACTATAATTAATATAAATTGAAAACAAATTATATTGGAAATTTATGCAAATCAAGACAATTTCCAGGTAAAAATGCATTTCCCCTGAAAGTCATCTCGAGAGACGCACTACACATACCAATAATCTCAGAGGTTCTAATTTACTTTCCCTTACTTAACTTTATTAAGTAAATATCATGGAAATGGTATCATGAAACCTGTTCTATCGATATTGGTTATTTGCCTTATAATAACCTAATCAACATGCTAATGTTATGGAAATTTATTCAAATCTTAATGTCGCTTTTCAATTCTCATTCCGAACGCACATTCTTAAATCTTAATTTTTATAAGCGCCGATTATAGAGCTTTTTCCTTTTCCGTGAAGCGGTCTTTTACGTACGAACGTCTAATATCTGTCATTAGGACGGTTTTGATGGTACGTAATTTGTTTTAAAGTAATTTTCCTTCTGTATAATGACTTTAAAACTTAATTTTGAGAGGAATGGTTATTCTTTTATGGATATAGGAATTAAGGCAATCTTTTTAACGAAAAATGAAGTTAATCATGTTAACTTCATCAGCAGATAATTAGATATTATTATTTGACAGTAAACTTGATTAGAAAAAAGTTTATAATACAACCAATCATCTGTCCTAAAATCCTCAGTATTGCCAGGTATTGCTAACTAATTTAATCATTGTTGATAGCTCGGTATAGGATATTCTCTACTAATATTAATTACTAATAAAATTAATCATTAACAGTCTACTAAAATTAGTATGATTTTATTTCGAGTTGTAGTTTGCCTTCATAATATTACATTAAAGGCCAAAATGCATTAGGAAAATGTTAAGCTGGGCCCGAATTCTGGAACGTCGACATAAAAACGTTACGCTTTCAAAGCGGTAAGCGAAAGTATTCGATTAGCGGAACGCCAAGCAGTCGATTTTGATATGCTTGTTGCCGTGCGGATCATTTTCTGGATACGCGTTAGGCAGATATTGGCAGCATCGCAATTTCTCAGGTATCTAATAGTTTACTAATAATCGAGCTAATAATCAAATGTGGATAAAACGATTAAAAATGCCAATGTTACGTCAATTTCATAACCTATTGTTGAGTTATGTCAACCTATTTTTCTATGGATATGTCATTATTCTTATTATATGAAGGAAATGTTGAAGACGCTTCTCAGGATTTTCGATGATTTGAACAATATTTATAGCTGCCAAGTCGTAAATTATCTATTAATTATTGATGAATTTATAGAAGAACAAATAGTTTTCATTAGAGAGCAAGAGAACGCACAAAATCACAATTTTTTTCTATTTTTACTGACAGTTCGACAAGCAAAACGGTCCAATAAGGTAGCCGTTTTCAAATCGCTTAGCGCAAAGGATAAAGACGCTAAGCGCATCAAATCAGAATACCCAAGGCGGTAGTCAAGTGCGAGCTAAGCGAAAATTAACGTCATATACGCTGAGCGCCTAAAAGCGCTTAGCGTTTTCTAAGTTACAGAATTCGGGTCCTAGATCAACTTCACTTCCAATAAATAATTATTAGTTATATATTAGTTAGTATGTAAGACAACAAATTCCCTACAATCATAGTCTGTCCAACGAGACACCTCAATAACCCTGACAGTAGTGTCTGTCATTTTAATTCCCAGGTAAATAAGGAACTATCTATGATGTGATTTTTTGAATGTTAACATATCTATCGAAATCTTCCCTGACTAGTTGGACAGACTTTAACTGGTTTGAACGACGGATATGAACCTGGATTGAAGATGATTAAGATTACTTCATTCAGACCTGATTCATATTTTTTTAACGTCAACTGTTTTTTGTAGACGTATATGTTTCAAAAAACTAAAGTGTTCTCGAATAGATGAATTTAAATAGTTTTTTTCTTTATTCTTTGCTTCCGACGACGCGACGACGGAAAGAGATAAACTTTCCGAAACCTTAAGCATTTTTTGTTCGTTAGACAAATTTGTATATCTGTAAATCTAACTTCTGACAAATAGTTTCCGTTTGGAAAACTTACGACCGAGAAAAATCAAAGGTTTTCCTTGATTTAAGTAAAAACAATCTTCGGATTGTCACGGAGTTTCTAACAGGACACTGTCTCCTCAACGAACACCTCAGTAGGCTGAAGCTGAGAAACAACGGCGAATGCAGATTCTGTGGAAAATGGGAAACACCTTATCACTGAGTGCGCCAAGACGACGACCATTCGTGCCATGAACTTTGGTACGGCTGATGTCGAGGATGGAGAGCTGGCCTCTGTGGAGCCGTCTCAGATACTGGCTTTGGTTAAAGGCCTGAGACTGTATGATGAGTTATAACTGGGTATAACTCAAGAAAGGGGAACACAATAAATCTGTAAGGTCGCGTTGATTAACTCCCCTCTTTAACATTCTACATTCTGTTTGGATTAACCCCAGAAGTGTTTACAAAAAATAACTATTTTATTTTGTAGATTTCCTTGCAGTAGCGAAATACCCATATAGGATTTTTCGGAGAGACTGATTCATATTGCCACTACACTATACTGGATGTTTTTCAAAAGTGACTCACCTCTATAACTTTTTTATTTTTCAGATAAAAAAACGAGATTTAGTACGTTAATATAGGACATAAAGCAGAATTCATTGAGGTTAATTATTGTCGGTTACCTCCCGTTTTACCGGAAATGACTACAACTTTTGATTTTTAAGTAGTACCCTCGGTATATTTTTATTTTAATTGACAGAAAATGATATTCTGAACAGAATGACGTATCACATGTTAACTTTTGAACATTTCTATTCAAAGTTTCTATTAAAAAATATATATTTTGAATTTCATCTACTAGATTTAACAACTTTAGGAACCTGTTAGATCTGCTATAATATTGTAAAACCCTAAAATTAAAAAATGGTCGCTTATGATGTTTACTCCTGAACCCTTCAATTTCTATCACAAATTTCTATTAATTGAAAATGTCAAAAATTGACGCCTGATATATCATTCTATTCAGAATATCATTTTATATCAACTAAAGTAAAAAATACCGAGGGTACGATTTAAAAATCAAAAGTTAGTCAGTAGCCATTTCCGGTGAAACAAGAAGTAATTGAATGGGGCAATCAATCTCAATTTATATCACATATATAGTAGCATAACAAATCCTGTTTTTTTATCTAAAAAATAAAAAAAGGTAGTAATGGAAAGGTAAATGATAATTAAAAGTAAACATGACACTCCATTACATTTGTATGACGTTTTAACTCATACATTTGAATCAAAGAATATGATCCAATATTTGAATGTTTGCTAATTTATTGGACTTTACAAGTTTATATTGTGATTTATTATTTATCTTATAAATTACTTTGTCTAGAGTTAGCAAGTATAGGAGGATATTGTGTCAGAACTTTTATATTATAGTGACATTAACTTCCGGAAAAACACTTTAAAATGCATAATAGCGCAATATGCAGTCCATGTCAACCAAAAACCGATATAAATGTAGGACAAAGGCAATTGCAAGGGTAAGTAATTAGATATATGATATATAGAAGCAGTAAACCATTAAATTATTAAATTCATTGAGAATTAACCAAAAAATATACCAAGAAAGAATTAACTAAACATATTTTTTGCATTTTTACATTTATTTACTACTTATCCTAAATAATAAGGATATATCAATTTAACTTTGATTTATTATTAGAAATATTTCTTAAAAATCTATATAATTAAAAACTTGTATTAACAATGTAAACCTTTCTTAGTATTTTTACGTTTAAAGTACAAAATATGGCGCTGCTTTTTTTCGAGCTGAACGCTTTGGAGGAACACACAAAATCACACCGATTTGTTAAGTACAGGGTGGCTCGAATTCGACGCTCATCATTGGGATTTCGGAAACCGTAAGAGATACAGGATCGGTTAAATGGAGGCAAAGTTGCGCAATTTGATCTGAACGAAACGGCAAATATCAAAGTGACTATATATAGTGTTTTAAGAGTGATGAAAGGATTTAATTAAATTGAAAAAAAAAATTAGGTCCGTATTTAAAAAAATTAAGTTGATAAGCTGAAACGTCAGTCTATATTTAATCACATAGAGTTATAGAGCAGAAAAAGTGGCCGTGAAAATGTGTTTTTCATTTTAAGTTATCTTAACAAATAAAGCCAAGAAACAATAGAAAACAAAATTGAAAATGATGCAATACGGTTTTATTGAGCACCAAATTGCGCAACTTTGCCTCCATTTAACCGATCCTGTATCTCTTATGGTTTCCGAAATCCCAATGATGAGAGTCGAATTCGAGCTACCCTGTACGCTTTGTAGGAGGTTTTACCCTAGGCTTTACCCTAGTCGCAATTTAGTATTCGTTAACGCATACAGTTTATCAGATTGTTTTTATTAATAGCGGAATGGCTAGCTCTGTATAGCTGGAAGTGGATAATTTTGGAGTAATTCAATCAAAATCAGGAGAAAAAAGTCAAGTTAAACGATTTACTTGGACAAATAGTAAGAAAGTTGCAGTTCAGGTGCGTTATATACTATTTGGAAACACACAAACCGAATATTGATGTTTTAAAAAACTCAATAATAGGTTTTATTTCAACTAAATTTGGTTTTGTTTGGTAAATATTTTAAATGTATAGACTAAGAAAAAAATATTTTATATGTAATACTAAGAACTGTAATAATTTCTATCCAATGCTACAAGCATTTAGTGAAAACATTCAGAACTTAAAGCAACATTGCTTAAATCATACGCAAAAAATACCAATTTCTTAGTAAAAAAAGATCTTACCAAAATATCAAGTGGAATAAATACTGTGTCTATCTAATTTATAACAAGGTTTTCTATTAAGGATAGTAGAGAAAATACTGTATATCATATTAAGGGGCGAGGGTAGGTACAGTATTATATGGAATATAATATCATTTTAATGCCTAGCTTATCAACCATGGCGGTACTATTACTTCAATAAAAGTACCAGATAGGAATGGAAAAGTTGAGGATATAACTACAGGATATGATTCCGTCGAAGGATACCAGGCACGACCACCTCACCCCTACCCCTACTTTGGAGCAACAATTGGAAGGGTAGCTAACAGAATAGCAAAAGGAAAATTTGTAAGTTATACTGATATTGCATTCTTCTACATATACTACTAAATTCCTATAAAATTAGACCGTAGAAAATGTTGAATACAAGCTAGCAACAAACCACGGTCAAAATCATCTACATGGCGGCATTCACGGCTTCGACAAAGCTTTATGGAATTATTACCTTAACGGAAATCAGGTAGTTTTAACTTATCATTCCGTAGATTTAGAAGAAGGATATCCAGGTATCAGTAACACATGATTCCATATACACGAATTAATCTAAAAATGTTATTGCAGGAGATCTAACAGTAACAGTGACCTATGAGTTAACAGCGAACAGTGAATTTTTAATAGACTACAAAGCAGTAACTACCAAAGCCACTCCAATAAATTTAACCAACCACGCATACTTTAACTTAGGGGGGCATGGCTCAGGAGCTGAAGAGTTATTCAAGCACGAATTTACCATCAATGCTGATAGGTATACTGAAGTGAATGCAAATGAAATACCAACAGGTATTATTAAAAAACAAAATATCAAACACAGAATATATTTGTGGTTTTCAGGAAATATATTTTCGGTTTCTGGAACCATTTTCGATTTAAGAGTACCAAAAGTTTTGGGAGATGTTATATTTAAAGTTCCAAACAACCCTCCAGGATACGATCACAACTTTGCAATTACCAGAGTACCCACTTCGGTGTGACTTTTATGTTTTTAAAATAATTGTTTATCTAAACTCAAAGTATTTGTCTAATTAGGATGTAGTATTTGCGGCCAAAGCATACCATCCGCCCAGTGGCAGAACTCTAGAAGTATACACTAACCAGCCAGGTATTCAATTTTATACTGGCAACAGTTTGCCAGAAGATAACTCCAATCAAGGTAAAGGAGCGACGTATAAAAAACATGGATCTTTCTGTTTTAAGACTCAAATATACCCTGACTCTATTAACCATGTGAGAATCGATCTTTAAACCGAAAATTAAAGAATAAACGTTTTTCTTATTTTCAGAAAAACTTCCCGAAAGCTGTGTTATATCCAGGCGAAGTATATCATCACTTTACTAGTTTTAATTTCCTAACACTTTAAATTAAGACTTGATGCAAAATTATAATTTTTTAATCTGACTTCTTTATTTTATTGGAATATAAATATATAAAATAATATATTTTACTCAATATTTTAAGTTTTTAAAATCTTGGTTGTAAGTCAGTATAGTTAAAAAAACGGAAACTTTTATTTACATTTACTTTAATAATAATTGACGTTTCGACCAATTTTAATTCGGTCTTCGTCAGAAAAAATAAAACACTAAATCACCACAATACACCAAAACACTTTTACTTTTACACGCGCATTTCGCTAACCATGTTAGCATCATCAGCAGATGATTAAAACTGTTTTAATCATCTGCTGATGATGCTAACAGTGTAGCAGTGATGCGCGTCCAGTGTAAAAGTAAAAGTGTTTTGGTGTATTGTGGTGATTTAGTGTTTTATTTTGCTGTGTAACACCAAAGGTTCCAACCCCCAACTATAATTCTTCAGAAACACAAACGTTGAGCATCATTTTCATTAACAACATTTTAAAATTCAAATAGAAATTAGAAATACATTTAGGAATTTTACAATTTAAAATTAGGTCTACAAAACTTAAGTGTCTACAAAAAATGAGACAAGACAAAAAATTGCTTAATTATTTTCTGTCATAACACTAAACACTACATTATAATGCCAGAGTTCTATAAACTTTGAAAAAAAAAATAATTACAGTTTAATGTAATTCTACTGAACCAAACAAAAACAATGAGTAAAGTAGAATTAGTATCATAAACACATGTCTAAAAATAGACCGAATATCTCTGGCGCATTTAAAAAGCGATAAAATTCCCACCTGTTCGATTGTCAACAACACACTACAGCATAATACAGCCAATATCCAGTATCTACCGTTCAACGTAGACAACACGTACAGCAAACACCGTTTGAAAATAACACCCCTGAAGAATATGACGCTATCGGAGAGGTGAACGACCATCACACCATACAAATATTTTCAAAAAATATAGATAGTGCTAGTAGATATAGTGTGAAAACAAAGTGATAACATAATTTCTAACACTGGTTTGATTGTTTGAATAATAGAATAGGTAAGATTATTAACTTAGTATTATATAGGTAAAAATTGAACAATCCAAACAAAATATTATTGTTGTAAAACTGATATTTTATGTATATTAAAAGTTTGCTACATTTTTTTTATTATTGATTAATGACTTTTTGTTATTGATTAATGACAATTATTGACATGTGACAGTTTGTTTGTCAGAGCGAAGGATCCAGCAAAGCCGGCGTGATAATGGGGATAAATCACAGAAACCAGTCGTCGGATGGCTATTATTTCCTTCGGTCTGATGAACTTAACGCAGAAATTAGCACGCCTGTAGTGGTTAAGGCGTTTTGTTCTACGCTTCTGTATACTATGTATAAATTACTTACTTGTTACTTGTTCAACAGTATTGATTTAATTTATTACAAATCGTGTTTTCCCGACTATTGCTTTATATTTAAAAATAAAAATTTTCGTCAGACAAATATTCTAATAATTTCTCTTTTTAAAGTTATATTTGCATTAAATACCTAAAAATACTATTTATTCAAATATTTTCAACGTAGAAAGCGCTTTTCGTAAAAATCTATTAAAAAATGCAAAAATGCGGCAAAGCCAAGATTGGACCCTGCAAGATCAAGACCAAGGAAGTCTTCGTCTTGCATTTGCTCATCGCTAAGTCTCCTACATACAATGGTTTTACATGCCTTAGGAAAATACGGCTTTACTAGAGCCGTTGGTATTCTAGGAAGGCTGTGTGTGAATGTGGCTAACACTACACTTCAATCGCATATAAACTTAGAAGTGTAAATCCCAAGTATTATTTTAAAACTAAATCGACCTAAGTATAATGTGCACAACATATATTAATTTGTATTCATGGTGATCTCCTGGTGTAATGCCGGCTGCAGGATTCAAACGAAAAACCTTTTCGGTAGAACTGAGAACTGTATCTTTACGGCACCAGACAACAACTGAAATTGTCTATTAAACATAAGAAAAATGGTATTACCACATAAATAAATCAAAAAGTACATTAAAACTTAAAATTAAAAACTACAAATAAAGTGACCGTTGAAACAGTTTCTAATGCAGTTATTTTTTTGCTGCCTTTGCGACTTATCTTTCTCAGATTAAATAGCTTAAATTCTCGCCAAATACCACCCCTTGTTGCAATGATCTATGCATAACAAAATTTTGGTTATATATTTTATTAAATTAAAATGAAACCAGAATTAACTATTTAACAAAACTGTTTATTTATCTACGGAAGTCGAGAGATTGCTGACAATTTTATAATAATAAATGTAACAGTTATTTAAAAATATCTCTGTAAAATTTTCAAGTAGGTTTTGAAATGACAAAGGAGTAATTATAATACATTTGACATATTCATTCATATTTTTTAAATATTAATAGATAATATTGTTATTTTTTGTCATTGGGCATGCTGAATGAATTAATTCCACATATTCGAAAACTTTGTAATAACAAATCACCTTTTGTTTTAAATGTTTCACCGATTACAGTAATAGTACTATAGGCATATCAAATAAACTAAAAAATGATAACGATTATTTTTAACAACAATTTTTACAAGCTTACAAAAATCGAACTGATGAATTTTGGTGCACTGATTTAATCGCAAAACTCTAGTTCAGTAAAAAAAACTCTCGGGTAGCCTCCTTCGACGTAGAAAAAAGGGTTTAACTTGTCATCAATCATAATGTTGTATTGTCTCGGGAACTGTTTATGTGTAAAATTTCATACGAATCGATTTGTAAAAGTAGTTCAAGAATGTTTTGCAAATTTGAGACAGACAGCTTACATAGGAACATCAAAGGTGACATAAGATTTGTCAAAACAGACTCAATATTATATAAAATCTAACCAACCTTCCATCTGTATCTTCCTTTGAATAAGAAGACTAAGGAAGGAGCATAATGCTATCCATGTATTCATGCATGGTGGGCGGAAAAAGGACTCTAGGATGGGGATCCTTGACAGTTCTGTTTGACGATTCATTTGACACATTTGAATTTGATTTTAGCTTATTTTATGTTATTTATTATTTATTCTACAACTGATAGTTTTATAAAGATAGTAAATCTAGATGGAAATTGTGGCAGAACTTAAATTAACAGTGACACTATCGCGATTTATCGAAAAAAACTCTAAAATAGTTGGTTGTGTAGCGTGCGGTAGATCTTGGCAAAAATCGAGTGAACTAATGGAACAACTTTTCGCTAGTAAGTGACTATATAATATACATACGTGTAGTAAACCGATCATTTATGAAATTCACTTAAATTAACTAATTATATTTTTTTTCTTGCATTTTTGCTTTTATTTATTACTTGTCAAAGATTAGATGTCAAAGAATTTATATACGTCAATTTGACTTACCTGCTTCAGTAGCGTATCGGAAGTTTGAGTTAATAAATAATTATTAAAACTTATCTATTTCTTTTAAAATAATATGTTTTTATAACAATTTTAATAACTACCAACATTTATTCACAAAGTAAAATAAAAAAAAATTATTGAGTCTACACAACGTCTACCCTATATCATAGTTTTACATTTCTTAAATAAAATTAGAACGGCACTGATAAACCGGAATTTAAGTCGGCCATATTTGAGTCCCATCGCGATGGACCTAAGATTTTTGATATGCTCCTTCCTTAGTCTTCTTATTTAAAGGTATCTTCAATTATCAACAAACACCAGAGCACGGACAACACGCCCCTAATTCAGATGAGATTGAAACTTTTGATATTAGAACAGCGAAATAGATCACTAGTTCACCACAATACACCAAAAAATTTGCTCTAAACTCTGGACGCACGTTTCGCTATGTTGGAATCACAAACAGATGATTAAAACGGAAGTTTTTCACTTCCGACAAAAGTCTTCCCAAAACAGACCAATTTATTTTCCTATACAGATTACAGTACGTTATTTGTACGTTATTCGGTAAAACAATATAGAAATAGTATTCCATATAGGACAGTCCAATTCCAGTATTCCAAGGACTAGTCTTGAGTCGGTATTTACATATCTAGGAGTAAATTAAGAAAGTTTTTTTAGGTCGTCTTGTACGGATCATACTTTACTGATCGAATTAATAGTGTCATCTGTGTTATCCGTAAAAAAATATCGTTTCCATCTTTCCTGGAAACCGACGGAGCATTTGAAAGCAGTAAGATTCAAAATAGATGGATTTGTTTCTTCAAGAACATCGACGTAAAACATGGTTAAAAACTATCGATACATCGATAATTTTCAAAAGTAGTAAATCGATATTAAAAATCGATATAGCAATGTTTCAAAAACATTGATATACCATTTGCATTCATACTCTCATTTAATCATCTTCTAATGATGCTAACCTACACCAAAGAACGTTAGAACAAAACACCGCCAAAATAGTTAGCGCTATCGGAAAGGTGAATGACCACATCTCACCACACAAATATTTTTCTGTTTTCGATCAATTTTTATCTGGTAATTATTATGCGGTCGATTTTGGAGTAAAAAATCGGCGGAAACCAAAAGGCCAATCTCGGTATTAATCACGGTTTGGCGTAACTGTAAAAAGTCGGGCGCGCGCTCGGGCTTAATTCACTCGCGAGTTGGTCTGCCTTGTGCCTTCACGGTGCCGCTTCGCTGCAATTGAATATTAATAACGGCGTGACGCTTCATTAAACAAAACATTCCATTTGTGCTATCGGTAAGAACGTTACTCATGCTTTTACATATTCCGCACCGTATCTCATAGACCAAAAATGTCCATGTTGATATCAGAGCGATTTAACATGCAAATATACTAACTTTATATTATAGTATAATTTTTTTAATTAAAAAGAATCGAGTGTATAAAGTATTCCAGTTTCGTGTGTTTTATGGGGTTTCTCGTTTATGAGTAGAGATACAGCGAGGCGGTTTTCTCTTTCACATGTGTCTTTAAGTCCAGCCCTCTTAGTTTCTGAAATACAGGGCGAATTTGAAAATGCTGCATTTTCGACCTTCTTCGTATCTTGATTCATCATCATGATTCATTGATGATGAATTCATCTTGATTCATCAATGAATTGATTCATTTTGATTCATCATTCATCTTGATTCATCATCATTATCATAATTTTCAGCTTTTTCAACCATTTCCAATCATGGTATAACTCCCCGCACATACTCTCTTTGTAGTTGGGCCCATTGTTGTCTATTGTTAGCTATTTGGGCACAATTTAACCCTGCTAATTTCCTAATATCATGGTCCCATCTCAGTTTCGGTCTTCCTCTAGGTATCTTAATTCCTTGTGGGTACCATGCTGTAATTTTTGCAGTCCATCTGTTGTCTGTTCTTCTTGCCATCTGTTGTCTGTACATTGCTACTGATATAGTACTACTTGATGTCCCTCAAGTCTGTGGATGACGTCTATTACCTGGGTCTCTCTTGGTTATTCCCAGCATATTACGTTCCATTGAGCGTTGTGCGACCTGCAGTTTCCTTATGATGTCCATTTTAAGTGTCCAGGTTTCACATGACTGGTAGTACACATTGGTCGAATGTTTTCTACTTTAGATAAAGTGGCAATCTAGATTTGAGTATGATTGAGTTTCTTCCATAAGTACTCCATGCTAACTTGATTCTTCTGTTGATTTCTGGTAGTAGAGATCCCGAGCTGTGTATTAGTTTTCCCATTATATGTATATTATATGTATATATATATATATATATATATATATATATATATATATATATATATATATATATATATATATATATATATATATATATATATATATATATATATATATATATATATATATATATATATATATATATATATATATATATATATATATATATATATGGTGTAAACAGCTTTGGGAATATCGCGTCTCCCTGTCGTACTCCTTTGCCAGTATCTTGATTATCCTATAACTTATCAAAAAGGTGAAAAATGATTTTCGAAGAGACTTCCACGTAAATTCCAGTGGCGTAACTATTTTTCGCTTGGTGCTGTCATTTTTGAAACATGACTCAACATATGCTTTTTAAATGGGATAAGCTGTATATTATTTTTTTATTTTTTTTCCTTGTTATTGAGCTTTCTAAAATATATTATAGTCTATACTTATTTTTTATTGTCATATACAAAAAATTGTATTATTTAACTTTTTAATATAGGCGACCGGTTTAAAATAGGCAATCAAAACAATCGAATATTTTATTCGACGTCTAATTTTGAGTAATGGCTATTCCACGCTAGTTTCTGTGTGACAGATAGTTGCACAAGTGCATCAAAACTATCAATAACTTTGATTGACAGCGTATTATTATCTATAGCTGCACAAGTTAATTTTCAGTGCAGTATTAAAATAACGCGATAGACTACTATATAGACTAGATATTTGTCTTTTTTTTAAATGTTTTTGCAGTTACCAATTACCAATGTTATTGTAAAGATGATGATATGATTTATAAATTACCGGTAATTTTATATCACTATAAGATAATCAACAAACCATCCATTCAGCTGTCTATATTAAAATAAATAAATGTAAAAAAATTACAGTTATTTCACAGACTGATAAAATAAGTCAAATAATAAAGTCACTACATTCTAAAAATATGTTGTCAATATTAAAGTCAGTGTGTGAACTCTATAAATCTGTTTATAGGAAGGAAAAACACATTGTTATAATCCCCTATAACAATAAAAATTATTAGTTTATAAAACAAGTTAAACCTGATAAAAGATTGTCAATATTAGAATAATTATATTGTGAAATTTAGTGTCTTACTAATTAAATATTATGACTTACTTTAATACTGTTTTGTTTATATTTTTTTTTGCTTTTAAGATAATTTTTAATACTTTTTGAATTATTCGTTAAAAATTATAATTGAATACTCAATAATAAATATGGTTATTCTAACACCAGTCTATGGTTTTAGAGATGTTGATTAATGCTGACTACGAACAAAAATACCACCAAGTACAGGGTGTAGAACTGGAAGAAGATGAGTTTGATACATACAAAGATAACACTGGTGAGTAAATTACTAATTAACCTGAAATATATCGCTATAAATTACATATCATTTTATAACAAAATAGACAGGACAATCATTCATTTTGGGAAAATTGATTGCCTGTATTTATTGCGGCTATTTTAAAAATTATTTAACTATATTTTAGACAGATTATTAGCTTTCTTTAAAACTTTATTATAGGAAAAATTCAATCTGTAAGGAGATTTACTTGGAGAAACTCAAAGGGAGTTTCTGTTCAAGTTATCACTTATGGAGCAACTATTACATCTATAAGACTACCAGACAAAAATGATACCACTGACGATATTGTTATGGGATTTGATGATATGAAAGGTAAGTGGAGCCTAAACCAAAGTTTACAGGGTGCTACAAATTCGACGTACGAGTATTGGTATTTCGGTAACCGTAATAGATACGAACATGGTTAAATTGGGGCAAAGTTGCGCTTTAGGATGTTCACGAAGATGTGACCAAAAAAGTTTTAAAAATTTCAAGGATTACTAAGTTTTTTGGAAAAAAACGGATTTTTTTGAAAATCAATAATTTTATTTTTTCCTGTCGTTACTTTTTAGAAAATTAAAAAACTAATTGCACATTATCATAGCCACTTTATTAGGGCTATCTGACCTGCATTTTTTATTTCAGGTTTTGAAAGAACTCAGTCTCCTGAGTACAATGATATACCACACTTAATATATTTTTTGTTTCGTACATTTGAACACAATTTATTTAAACTAATTTCAAGTCCGACTCTGTTTTCTTTCATCTATTCATCGTTACAATATTGATAAGCAAAGATGGTTATAGAATAATGACTAACATTGAATACGGAAAATCAAATGCAGTAAAATAATGAAAAATAATATAAAATAAATATAATATAATATAAACAATCAAATCATATTCCCGGAAGATGGATTGGAAATGGTAGAGCAGTATAATAATAATGGCCAGCGAGGTTCCTGGATCTGTCGCTAATGGGTGGGGAGCATTGCTTGATGTCATTTGTAAAAGTGAAATTAATACATTTCAATATTTACAATAAAGAGTACAAAATGCATTCGGAAGTATAAAAAGAAGATATGTTCAAAGAGCTATAAATAAAATTGAACGAAAAAAAAATGTGCAATAGGGAGGGTGATAACCCTTTCGAACAAGTAGAGCAATAGAAACTAGTTTGTAGAAGTTGATTTATTTATAATAACTATGATTAGTATTATGCGTATTATTAGACCCTAGACTGAGATTTCAAATTCCCAATAAAAAAAGTTAAAAATAATATCTTTAAATTGCTGACCTGGATATTATTTATTTGAATCTTCCAATTGGCTCGATTTTCCTTAATTATTGTTGATTAGGGCTAATCAATATTGTTGCGATGAATATAACCAGATTAAATAGTTTAAAAAACCAGAGTCGGACTTGATTGATATGATTTTAAAAAATAATTAAATAGTTTTGTTATTGTTATGGTACCCAAAACAAAAAAAAAAATCAAGTGTGGCATATCATTGTACTCAGGAGACCGAGTTCTTTCAAAACTTCAAGTAACAAATGCAGGTCCGTATTTAAAAAAATTAAGTTGGCCTCTGTATCGCCCAAATTATCAGCTAACTTTAAGATCTAAAAATACTATCAAATAGCCCTAATAAAGTGGCTATGAGAATATGCAATTAGCAATTTTGATTTTCTGGAAAGTAACGACAAGAAAAAATTAAATTGATTTTAAAAAAATTCGTTTTTTCCAAAAAACTCAGAAATCCTTGAAATTTTTAAAACTTTTTTGATGGCATCTTGGTGAACATCCCAAGACGAAACTTTGTCCCAATTTAACCATCTTCGTATCTATTACAGTTTCCGAGATACAAATGCTCGTACCTCGAATTTGTAGCACCCTGTATAATTCTCATATCGATTTACAGGGTATTTAAATCCATTAAATCCATACTTTGGAGCAACCGTTGGACGCGTAGCTAATCGTATTGGTAATGCACAGATTAATATAGATGGTGAAATTTACAAAGTAACCGCAAACTTGGGAAAGCACACTCTTCACGGTGGGAAAATAGGATTTGATAAAGTATTAATACAAAAATCGCACACTTTATTCCAACTAATTGTGTATTCACCTTTCAGGTCAACTGGAATCATTATGTATCTGGAACAAAGGTTATTTTAAGTTACCTGTCAAAAGATCTCGAAGAAGGGTTTCCTGGTGACGTTATAACTAGCGTAGAATATCAACTGACTGATGATAATAGATTTCTAGTTGAGTTTAAGTCAACTTCTTCTAAACCTACCTATGTTAACTTAACCAATCATTCGTAAGTACATAAAAAAAATAAAATAAAGAAATCTATACACTAGTTTTCTTTCAGATATTTTAACTTAGCTGGACACGATACCGGAGCTACGGAAGTTTATAAACATTTGATTTCTATTAACGCTGATTATACAACCGATGTAGATGAAAATTCGATACCATCTGGTAATTTGACGAAAAATTTAAAATAATTTTCAAACTTTTTATTTGTTTAGGTAAGCTTCTTCCCGTATCTGACACAATTTTTGATTTACGCATTCCTAAAGTTCTCGGAAATGTGATTAACAAAATACCAAACTACTTAGGATATGATCACAATTTCTGCGTTACGAAAGGGTCTACTCAAGAAAACACATTTGTCTCCAGAGCATATCATCCACCATCTGGTGAGCTACAACAATATATCAATAATTCTTTAATATTTTGTGTTATCTAAATATCAACCACCATAATGGATACTTATTTTTACTGTACTGTTATTTTTAGGCAGAGTAATGGAAATTTATAGTAACCAACCTGGAGTACAATTTTACACATCTAATCATATTCCTGAGGATCCAAAAGAATTTAAAGGTGATCAAAAGGACCTACAGAAACTAACTGGGAAAGGAGGAGCACATTATTACAAACATGGATCATTTTGTTTCGAGACTCAAAATTATCCTGATGCCATAAACCATGTAAATATTTTATACACCAATGGATGAAAAAATCTAACGTATTTTTTTACAGAAAAAATTTCCACCCGCTGTATTGTATCCTGGAAATAAATACCATCATACTGTCGAATATAGATTTTTTATAAAACAAGCTTAATTTCATTAAATCTAAGCGAATTATTTTAATTATATATCGTTTTAAAATAAATATTATTTATCAAGTCGATATCATCGTATCATTAAATTACCCTTTTATCACATTAGATTATGAAACTCTTTAAAAACCAAAATATTTCAAAATAGTTCTCGTTAACAACAAAAGCAAAATAAAAAACTAATTCACACAATACACTAAACCACTTTACTTGTGTACTGGCCGCGCATTTCGCTAACCAGCAGATGATCAAAACTCAACACGCGCGCCCAGTTAAAGTGTATAGTGGTGAATTAGTGTTTTATTATACTGTATCAAAAAACAAATATAAATACATATTGATTTGACTCAGTTTAGAGAGATCCTTCAACTATCCCCTGACCCTTCAACTATCAAAAAAAAAAGAATCAACTCAAAGTAGGAATCGGGGAGAGTCATTATATACAATTGGGAGATTTCGAAAAAGAAAGAAAAACTTCTAGCCAGAAATAAATAATAAAAGTAAGATCGATGATAAAAACAATATAAAAAATATAAAATATAAATGAAACAAGTTTAGATTGGAAAGTGTCCATAAGATCAATGTAAATACTATTTGGCGAACAACGGTCGCGATCCGGAAGCTTTTGATAATTTCAGCTTTTGAGGGGTTCGGCTTTTTCCGGAATTATATCGCCAAATATTATTTATTCAAATTTATTATTATTTTCTTTCAATTTTATAAATAAAATACAGTGTGTTGCATATGAGAAACTTTATTTTATATAAGGACATATATGGAATACCAATCAAACATTGGAAATGGACGTGCCACGATGGTTTTTGCAGTTCACCATTCACACAGCTTTAAAAAAATTTTAATACCACTTTTTCATAATTATCACGAGTTTGAGAATATAAAATGTAAATACTTACAAGATAGCAATAATTATTTTGAAAATGGACGCTTTAAACACTTATCGATATGTTTTCAATGAGGGCGGTTTAAATTTTAAAAGATTTTATAATAATTTATGAAGATTCTGATTTTGACAAGAGAAAATTATTTCTGTTCTCGTTTGCGGTTGTTCTTAGCAACCGCTATACCAGTACCAATCCAAAACAATTAAATATTTTGACGGGCAATCCAAATTAAATTTATTTCCTTTATATGTGTCTGTATGTTAATGCAGCCTGTTATACATATAAAGTTACAATTTATTTAATATTATATTAGTTAGAAGATACATTCAAAGGTTTTCAGTGGTTAGAGGTTAAGTTTAGGTATCAGGTAAACAGCTTTAATTTGTAAGGTAGACATGGTTTGAGGTAAACATGACACATTACATTTGTATGACGTTTTAGTTGATACATTTGAATCAAAGAATATACCAAGTTTTGAATTTTTTCTATTTTTTTGAACTTTACAAGTTTATATTGTGATTTATTATATACATTATAAATGATTTTGTCAAGAGTTAGCAAATTTAGGAGGATTTTGTGTCCGAACTTTTATATTACAGCCACAAAAAACTGTAAAATGGATAGTCGCACAATGTGCAGTACATGTCTACCAAAAACCGATATAAATATAGGACATGCCTGTCAAGGGTAAGTAATTATATAATAAATGTTTCGAGCAATAAACCAGTCAATTATGAAATTCATTGCCACTTTATCATAAATAACTAGAATATATCCATGTGATTTTGATTTATCTGAATATATTATTAGAAATATTTTTAAAAAATTTAAATAACTAAAAACATGTATTAACGATGTAAAACAAACCTTTCTTCGTATTTTTACATGCATTAAATAAAATTAGAGCGCCAATGGTACACCGGAATTTAAGTTAGTAAACCGGAATTAATATCAATCAAATTATTGGTATGCTCCTTCCTTTTAAGTCTTCATAATCAAACGGTAGATAGAAACATGTTTTCTGTTGAACCCAAAGAAAAAGACATATTTAGTGCTTCGGAAACTAATATAACTGAATTATAGAAAAAATAAAAATGTAGTATTTTCGCTTTTCTCCAGTTTTCCCTCTTTGTTTCATTATTTTTCATTTATATAGTTAATCTAGCGCCTCATTATTATGAACAAATAAAAATAATCTTAAAAATACACTAATTATGTTTCAAAACAATTAACATTATTATTTTCTTCATTTATTGCGGTCTAAATCCTCGGTACCCTACCAAGCGGTACCGCTAAAGAACGGCCGTACTAGCAGCCGTTGTTGCCAACGAGTAGTCCGGCCGCTTTGACGGTGAATATAATTTAAAGTAACATTAAATATAGTAAAGAATCAGTTCAAAACAAATATTGTCCACCGTCAAAATACGTGCTTACAATATTCTACCGTACAAAGCGGCCGCTTCAGAAAAGACGGTGCCGTTTTTTTCGAGCTGAACGCTTTGGAGGAACACACACAGATTTGTAAGTACATACACGCTCTTTAGCGGTACCGCTTTGTAGGAAACCAAAGCTTTACCCTAGTCACAATTTAGTATTCGCTGACGCAACAGTTTATCAGGTTGTTTTATTAATAGCGGAAGCGGAATGGTAAAGCTGGATGTGGATACTTTTGGAGCACTCCAATCAAAATCAGGAGAAAAAAGAGAAATTAAACGGTTTACTTGGACAAATAGTAATAAAGTTGCAATTCAGGTACGTTATATACTATTTAGAAACATACAAATTTACTACTGATTTTTTATAAAGCTCATTAACATGTCTGATGTTTGTAATTTTTCTGTCAACTTTCTTTAAAAAACAAACGAATAATTATTAAGTGCAAAGCATTTTGAGAAAATAATTAGCACTTAAAACAACATTGCTTAGATCATACTCAAAAAATGCCAATTTCTTGATAAAAAATTAAGATCTTACCAAAACATCAAGTGGGATAAATCTGTGTCTATCTAAGTTGTAACAGACAAGGTAATATGGATATGGTATGTATGTACAATTTATCTATCTATCTATTCAGCCTCTTCGGTCCATCGTTGGACATAGGCCTCCCCCAATCTCTTCCACTCTTCTCTCTCTGTCGCCGTGCTCATCCATCTTGTGCCTGCATGTTTCCTCAGATCGTCCGCCCATCTCATCTGGGGTCTTCCTCTACTTTTTCTATTCTCCCAGGGCCTCCAGTTTACGATGCATTTGTTCCATCGATCATCCTTCTGTTTGACATTGTGACCGGCAAACTTCTATTTCAACTTTGCTACTTCACTTCTAACATCCCTTACTTTAGTTTTTCCTCTGATCTATTCATTCCTTTCTCTATCTGCCAGCCTTATATGTAGCATTTGTCTTTCCATAGATCTTTGAGATTTTGTTACCTTATCCATATTTGATTTTGTCAGTGTCCAGGTTTGGTATTCGTAAGTAAGTACAGGGAGTACACATTGATTATATACTTTGATTTTAAGGTACTGTGGATATCTTTTGTTTTTTAATATGTAACTTAATAATTTTCCAAATGCTGCCCAGGCCAGTCTTACTCGTCTCTTTATTTCAGCTGTTTGGTTTTCTTTTTTCAGTTTAATCATTTGTCCCAGATATATATACTCTTCAACTTGTTCTATTTTTTCTTGGTTTATTCTGGTTGTTATGTTTTCATCTGTGTTCGTTATGATTTTAGTTTTAGTGTAGTTCATTCGTGAAGAGCTTATAAATTACGTTAAGGAGTGTTATAGGACGATAGTTTTTTAGATCTACCCTATCACCTTTTTTATGTAGGATGATGGTTATAGATTCCTTCCAGTCGTTTGGGATTATTTTTTCTATTAGGATTTTATTCAGGAGAATATGAAGAGTATTAACTACAGCTTTTCCGCCGTACTTTAGCATTTCTGTTGTTATTCCGTCTTTTCCAGGTGATATGTTGTTTTTCATTTTCTTCAATGCTCTCTTAATTTCCGATTTGCTTATTTCAGGTTGTAGTTCTGAGTTTACGTTTCTTATTTTTGTTTGGAGTTTCTTGACGGTGTCTACCGGCGGTTCCCGTTTTGTTTCGTATAGTTCTGTATAGAACATCTGTGTGATTATTATAATGTCATCTTTAATGTTAGTTTCTATGCCGTTCCTGTCCTTTATTTTATTTATTTCGAATATACCTAGAGTGGGTTTTAGATATTTCATACTTTTATTATTTTCTATTAATCTCTCAATTTGTATTTCTTGGTTCTTTCTTTTATTTTCTTTTATCAATGTACAATATGATTGAAAAAAAAACGGCGTCAGCGATGGCTATGAAATGACTGTCACTATATATGTTGGAGGCAGATGCCGAATTCGGCCTATGTCCGAAATAATTAGACATATGGCGATTATAATTAAATATACCTACCTATATCCACAAAGTTACGGAGAAGAGTTTTGATAGCATTGGTTTCAACTTCTATGCGGAGGTTAATCTTTTGTTGTTATATTATACCAAAAAAAGATTAACCCCCTCCGCAAAGAAGTTATATAAAGACAATTTAAGTTTAGTATGAACAAATCGCCATATGTCGAATTATTTCGGACATAGGCCGAATTCGGCATCTGCCCCCAACATATTATAATATGTAAAATTAAAATTGTGGAAATTTTAATCTATCGTCAATTCCAAGCCAACAAACGTCATTTTTTTTCGATCATATTGTAAATTGTAAATAACTTCTAGTTTTGCATTATTTTTAAGAAAAAATCTAAAAAAGGTCATAATAAAAATTTGGATACTATAGAATTTTCTTAATTGAAAATTATATTACAAGACCATTGACACATTACTAATATTAATTTAGAATAAAATTATATTCGAGAAGTCCTAAATATTTAATAGCTATATACATTCTACAGCTGTACATGTGATTAAAAATTAATCTCCTCACTATACAGGGTGTTTTAAACAACATGTGCCATCTTGTGGGAAGGTTCCTCTCGTAAAAATAAGATTTAATTTTTATATCAGTATATTTCCGATTCTGCTTTGTTTCGTATACCTGCAGGGGGGGGTTTAAGCCTTCATTTTTTTTTGTTTTAATATAATTTTCTTCCAAGTGTACGTATTTAGTACCAAAAGTGAAATTACAACGTAACAGTACGTAAAAGTTACAAAAAGTGAAATAAATTACTATTAGAGTTAAAATTGCGTTTATCTTTTCAAGGAGACTGAAACTGACAAAATACCAAGAGACGACTTTTAATCGGCGTTAAACAGTCTATACAACACCTATTGCTAATAAGAGAAAAAAGTCAGTCGCGCATATTTTTTAGAAAAATATTCCATTGATAATCCATATGAATGTTCCTGGTAAATACGTCGAGTTTTTTAGCATTAAAATATGTCGCACTTACAGTAACTTTTACCCTCAAAACTTCATTCGAATCGCTAAATGCACTTGAAAGAAAATTATAATAAATCGAAAAAAAATAAGACTTTAACACCCTGTAACTACGAAACAAAGCAGAATCGGAAATATACTGATATACATATAAATCTTATTTTTATATGAGGAATCTCCGAGGGGTGTCTCACTATTGGAATTACCTGTATATTTTCTTGGCAGTCGCTGGCAGTCATTGGCATTCTTATGGCAGTCGCCTATAATAATTACATGGCAGTCATAGGCAGTCTTCTTCATAGTCATTGGCAGTCGCTTAGCAGTGGAAGGATATTTTGGCAGTACGTATACATTTTTAACCCGAGTGAGACACCCCTCGGGAATCTCCAAACAAGGCACATTTTTTTGAAACACTCTTTATATCATATTAAGCGAAGGTACAGTATTATAGAATATTAATTTCATTTTTTAATAACTAGCTTATCAATTATGGCGGTATTATTACTACATTAAAAGTACCAGATAGGTGTGGAAAAGTTGAAGATATAACTACCGGATATGACTGCGTCGAAGGATACCAGAAAAACAAAGACCCCTACTTTGGAACAACAGTTATTGGAAGAGTGTCCAACAGAATAGCAAACGGAAAATTTGTAAGTTAGACTAATATTACATTCCACTACATTCTACAGATTCTACTCTTTTCCTATACGATTAGACTGTAGACAATGTTGAATACAAGTTATCAACAAACCAAGGTCCACATCATTTACATGGCGGCGTTCGAGGCTTCGACAAAGTTTTATGGAATTATTACCTTAAAGGAAATAAGGTAGCTCTAACTTATCATTCCGCAGATTTGGAAGAAGGATATCCAGGTATTAATAACACATTATTCCATATACACGAATTAATCTAAAAACATTTTATGCAGGAGATCTTACAGTAACAGTTACCTATGAATTGACAGAGAACAGTGAATTTTTAATCGACTACAAAGCAGTAACTTCCAAAGCGACTCCCGTCAATTTAACCAATCACGCATACTTTAACTTAGGAGGGCATGGCTCAGGAGCTGAAGAGTTATACAAGCACGAATTTACCATCAATGCTGATAGGTATACTGAAGTGACTCCAGATGCAATACCAACAGGTATTATTTAAAAAAAACATCAAACACAGAATAACATGTTTGTGGTTTTCAGGAAATATACCTACGGTTTCTGGAACTGTTTTTGATTTAAGAGAACCAAAAGTTTTGGGAGATGTAATATGTAATGTTAAAAACTCGGCAGACTCCCCGGGATACGATCACAACTTTGCAATTACCAGATCTACTTCGGTGTGACATTTGCGTCTTTATAATAATTGATTATCTAAACTCAAAGGATTTGTCTAATTAGGATGTAGTATTTGCGGCCAAAGCATACCATCCTCCCAGTGGAAGATCTCTAGAAGTATACACTAACCAACCAGGTATTCAATTTTATACTAGTAACTTTTTGCCAGAAGATAACTCCTTCCAAGGCAAAGGAGCGACCTATAAGAAACATGGAGCTTTCTGTTTTGAAACTCAAGTACACCCTAACTCTATTAACCAGGTGATGATCGCCCTTTAAACCGAAAAACCTTATAAACGTTCTTTTTATTTTCAGCAAAACTTCCCGAAAGTTGTGTTATATCCAGGCGAACTATATCATCACTGTACTAGTTTTAAATTCTTAACAATTTAAATTAAGAATTGATGTAAAAATAAAAAAAAATTAAAATAAAAGTATTTCTACTATTTCCAAAAATATATTTTTTTAATCTGATTTATTTTATTGGAATATGTCCGTAGATAGTTTGTAACGTTTACCTACTTTTTATCTCTACACTCTGATGCAAAAAAAACAACTGATACATTTTTGGTCAAATTTAACAGCGCTTTCAGATGGACCGGAGCTTCCGCGACGGACCGTCCGCGACTTCGAGCAAGTACTTGGCTTCGAGCAATGCTGTACTTAAACTGCCGTTAAACGGTAGCTAACTAAAATGCCGTTAATAGGTATGACGTCGTTGATATGACGCACTTGACGGCTTTATGAAATATAGGAATTTTATAAGGACTAACCAACGCTATCCACCCCACCAAATAACCAACTTAACCAACGCAACTAACCTCGACACTGATAAAAAAAAATAAAAAAAAAATATAAATTAGTAAAAACCAACCAACCCCACCAAATAACCAACTAACCAATGAATTAACACCCTCCAAATAACCACGCTAACCAACCCGCCAAATAACTAAACCAATCCAACCAAAAAGAGTGAAACCAATGCAATAAGATCACGCTATAAGAAAAAACATATATAAAAAAGTCTTGGTCGGGGTGAGATTTGAACCACGGACCTTTAGCTCACGAAGCGATAGCCTCAGCCACGGAGCCACAGGTGCTCTTGCAAAATGCTTATAGCCAGGCATTACTTTCTGGCGACATGAACGACGTCACAATACCTATTAACGGCATTTTAGTAGGCTACCGTTTAACGGCTGTTTAAGTACATCGTTTTTTCAATTATCATTACTCTTTGATGTCCCTTTTTAATATGACGAGATGGTTTTCGTGATTACTGTTGTAACTTCATATTACGCTGCACTGGATACTCTATACTAAATTAAAATTAAAAAAAAAACGTTAAAGGCCAACAATACAGTCCTGGTTTTAATAACTGTTAATAACGATATTAAAAAAAACAGATGTAATACTCAAGTATACAAACAGGAAAAAAAATGTACGTAATGCTTTGTGATGCCCTCCCTTGGCTGCTATAACTACCTGTATACGTCCGTTCATACTGTCATTGAGGCTGCATATATCATAATATTGCGTTATGATTTTCCATTATTTTTTAAGTACCGAAGTTCGTTTAATGAAGCTGCTACCGCTTGGCGACCCCCGACCCTCCTACCAAGCATTCCCTAAACGTCGAACAGTTCACAAGAATCACTAAAGTCGACTTATCATATTGAAATTACTTCAAAAAGAAATGATAATTGAAAAAAATGCAAATTGTTGGTGGCAAGTTCATTTCCCTCTTAAAAATTAACCAAAGCATGTAGTGACATGATCCAAAACACAAAATGCTCAGGAGATATGGTTCTGACAGTAAAATTATATTTTAGGAAAATGTACACACGAAATTATTACACAGGGTGTTTTAAAGTTAAGGTAAAAAACAAGCCCTCAATTAACCCTGTATAATCTGCCAAATACTAAAGTTTATAAAAAACTGAGTTAACGACATGAAGTTGATATAATTATTATATATAGCTTGCTAAAAAATCATGAAAATAGGGCTAAAAATAACAAAAATATAACACTTTATATTTGACTAAAACTTTCTCCATTGCGTTTTTTGCATCTGATTGTATATGTATAATTTGATGATCCAAAAGAATTTAAAGGTGATCAAAAAGCTCTACTCTCTGGGAAGGAAGGAGCACATTATTACAAACGTGGATCCTTTTGTTTAGAGACTCAAAACTACCCTGATGCAATAAATCATGTAAATATGCCATACTCCATTGGACGAAAAGAATCCAACTTATTTTTTTCAGAAAATTTTTCCACCCACTGTGTATTGTATCCTGAAAATAAATACAATCATACTATAGAAGCTTAATTTTAAAGGATACTTCATTAAATCTAAGCAGATTATTTTAATTATTATATATTGTTTTAAAATTAATATTATTTCTCAAGTCAATAACATCGTATCATTAATTTACCTTTTTATCACATTTGATTATGAAACTCTTGTTAACTGTATTGCCTGCAATATACCTAAAATAAAAGCAGAGGCGCGACCAGGATTTTCTTTTGTATGGGATTTACATCATGTAATAAATAGTGATGGGATAACTCAAGCGAAAATTCTCTCGAGCACTCGATTATTAAAATAACCGACATCGCTCGATTATGAACGAGCGATGCAAGTTCCGAGTTACGAGCGACGAACGCAAGCGATCCTAGTGAAATAAATTGAAATCTGATTTTAATGTGACATATACTCGATAAAGGCCGAGCGAATTTTCTACATACATTGCAGGAGCAAATTTATACGACGTTATCCGTTGCGTATCTGAGTGACAAAATTTTACGACCTACATCTACAATGCTTTGAAATAAACTAATCAAGCGATCAAGCGAATCGCTCATCGCTTGCTACTTGCCTTCATTACCGAAAGAATATGTACTCTGCGCACGCAACGTACTGCTTGGCGTTACGAGTACAAGCGACGGGCGAAAAACTGTATTTTTAAATACGAGCGATATTTCGCTCGAGGGATCGCTTGATTATTGAAATCGCTTGAAACTCGAGTACTCGATTATTGAAATGAATCGGTTTTTTCAATCACTAGTAATAAATAATAAATGATTAAAACTCATATTTTGGTAATTTATTAACATTAATCAAAATAAAATTACAAAATGCCAATTTGAGCCGAAATTCCAAAAGAGATTTAATACTTCTAATAAAATAAATGCGTAATCTTAACATCAAAGATACAAAAAAAAAGAATCAGCTCAAAGTAGGAATTGGGAAGAATCATCAAAATTGGGAGATTTCGAGGGGAAGAAGGAAAAACTTCTAGACATAGTTAGAAGTTGTCCAAATGGGTTTCAGTGGTTATAGGTATCAGGTAAACAACTTTTATAGTAAGGCAGAGATTGTTTGAGGTAAACATGACACATTACATTTGTATGACATTTTAGTTAATACAAATCAAAGAATATATCAAGATTTGAATTTTGCTAATTTTTTGAACTTTACAAGTTTATATTATGATTTATTATATACATTGAAAATGATTTTGTCCAGAGTTAGCAAGTTTAGGAGGATTTTTTGTCAGAATGTTTATATTAAAGCAACATTAAATTCCGGGAAAAACAACTGTAAAATGGATAGGCGCGCAATGTGCAGTACATGTCGACCACAAACTGATTTAAATATAGCACATGCCTTGCCAGGGTAAGTAATTATATTAATATATTTTACGAGTAGTAAAACACTCAATTATGAAATTAATTAAGAATTATCGAATGTAATACCACAAGATGTTTCGGGATTACCGAATAATACTTTTACTTGACACGAAATGCATTACCCGGCAACACTACGACTCTGAAGGAAGAGTAGTGTTGCCGGTATCGCATTGAGTGTCAGGCAAAAGCATTAGGTAATCCCCAAAACATCGAGTTGTATTCAAAAGATTATACAACGAATCAAAGTACATATATTGCATCCTTCTTATCTTAAACATTTTTATTATAATAATTAGAATTGACGGGATATTTTGTGGAACTGACAGAAATGACTTCTGAATTAATATTTCAAAAAAGGCAAGACAATTACAATATGGCCACCAAGCAATAATCGCTTAAAGGCTGGAACACATACACGCAATCGCTACCACGATCGCGATCAATTGCGTCCATTGCAAAGAAATAAGCCGCACATACTTCTAGCGACCTGTTAGCGATAAGGTGGACATCTGCAGCGTTCAATCGCGTGGTACTCGGCGTTAGCGATCAAACGCAGCAGGTTGCATTTGATCCCAGATCGTAAGTAAAAAAATGGCCGATTTTACAGAAAAATTAATTGAACATGTGAAAAAACATAGTGTTGTATGATATGTCACATCCGGACTACAAAAATGTGTGAATGAAAAATAAAGTTTTTTTTACCTTTGTCTGTTATTATTGCACTTTTCTTCGTTATCTAATAATATTGCAAGGAGCAGTGCCTCTTCTTCCAATAATCGATCTATTGAGACACTTTTTTACGCACTAATCACACCGCAAAAAAAATAAAATATCGCCTGTATATGTTCACTTTCTTCTGCGATAGCGATCGTGGTCGCGATCGCGTATATGTGTTCCAGCCTTAAATGATTATCACTTATTAATCACATCCTTCTATACAGGGTGTCCGGAAATTAATGCAACAAAATTTGGTCATAGATTCTTGAAAAAAAATAGGTAACCCGTATTTTATATTTTTGGCAAGTGGTCCCCCCTTTTCGCATTTACAGCCCCCTAAAAAGAGTTCATTTTCAATATCTCAGCGCCCTGTTGGACGAAAATCACTAAATTTGGTACACGTTGTTTTACCATAAAATCACATTTTCATACTTATTTGCTACATGCTATAAATAACTGAACTTAGCCTAACTAAAAAGCATATCTTTACGATAATTTCTTACCACACATTGAAATTGATTCATGGCACTCTAAATTGAAAGTTAAAATGCTATTTTTTTAATTATAAAAAAATATCAAAAATTGGCATATGATATGTCGTTCTATTCAGAATGTAATTTTCTATCGAATGAAGTAAAAAATATCAGGAGTGTCATTTAAAAATCAAAAGTTGTAGTAATTTTCTATAAAACAGGAAGTGACCGACGACAATTAAATACGTCAATTAATCCTAATTTATGTCACATACTAACATACCAAATATCGTTTTTTTATCTGAAGAAATAAAAATGTTATAGGGGTAAGCCACTTTTGAGAAACACCCCGTATTCCAAAACGATTAACACCATTTTTTTCATCTATTAATCTGTTGTGGTCTAAATAGCCGAAAACTGAATCTTGTGATAATTATTTTTAATCATTTTATAACGGTCTGTTATAAATTCTATAAATTCAATGCTACGCCACTGCCCTACAACAACTCAAATAATAACAAATTTAACTGATAACGTTTACTGAAACGATCTTACAATAAATACCAAGAATTAAGACCCGCTGACCCTAGTCACAATCAAGTATTCGTTGACGCATCTTATAGTTTATCCGATTGTTTTATTGATAGCGCAATGACCAACTTTGTAAAGCTGGAAGTGGATAATTTTGGAGTATTCCAATCAAAATCAGGAGAAAAAAATGAAGTTAAACGATTTACTTGGACAAGCACTAATAAAGTTTCAGTTCAGGTATGTAATATACAGGGTTGTTCACCACATACGACACAGAGTATTGTAGCTAAACGATTAGATTTTTACAAATTGTAAGTTTTGGGTTCGTTGGAGGACTATTAGAGCTACAATTTAAAAATATTTTTACAAGATACAGAGTGTCCCAAATAAATAAAAAATATCAAAGTTGTATTTTTTTCAATGGAACACCCTGTATATTATTGCATTTTTAGTTTCTACGATTAAAATAAAGGTAAATTTGATTAAGGTTTATGACACTTAAACCTTACCGTTTTTGAAATATTTTCAATTTTGTAAAATTGTAGTATAAATTTTAAGGGGTATCAAAGTTTTTAATACTAAATATTTACTGAAGTTTATTTATTGATCAGTTATGGTGTTGCAATAATAAAAATTATACTACCTTATACAGAGTGTGTAAAAATTTATTTTAAATAATTACTAGCGTTAAACGGCAATAACTTGTTTAATTTAAATGGAATACCCTGTATATTTTATTTTTATTTATTTGGGACACTCTGTAACTTGTAAAAATATTTTTAAATTGTAGCTCTAATAGTCCTTCAACGAACCCAAAACTTACAATTTGTAAAAATCTAATCGTTTAGCTACAATATTCCGTGTCGTTTGTGGTGAACAACCCTGTATAATTTAAAAAGATACAATTGGAATACTGGTTTTATAAAGCTCAGTAGGTTTCATGTCTAGAATAAACAAGTAATGGTAGGGCATAAACAACGATTCAAATTTCGTTTTAAAGTTGGTTTTGTTTGGTAAATATTTTGAATAAGTCGTAGATTATACTCTCCAGATTTAGCACCATTATTTATTTTAAAATATTATGTATGTATTATCGATGTTTTATAGCGCCCTCCGTTGCCCTCCGGTCTCCATACGCCACCTCCGTCTGTTGTCTCAATCTCCAGGTTGTAAGTTCCTTTCCGAGATGGCCCTGTCGATTCCTTGCTTCCAGAAAAGTTTATGTCGGTCTCGTTTACCTCTGCTGCTTTACGCATCTGTAGGTGTCCACTGAATCCATGCTTTGGTATTCTCTCGTCAGCCATTCATCGTACATGACCACTGCAGTTGTTTTTCTTATATTTCTTTTACAACGTTACCCTCCACCTTCGCCTTTTCTCGTATTCTCTCCTTCCTAAGTCTGTCTAAACGGGAGATTCGGGTTGATCTTTGCCAAAAATCGACAACTTTTTATGTCTTTCGCTTAACTGCCTCAGAGCCATATAACATTACGCCGAGCATTGCGCTTTTCAGGATCGCATTATAGATCAGTTTTTTGCCCCGATATTAGAGCTCCTATCAGCTTTCTGTCTTTACCAATCCGTTCTTCGATTCCTTTTCACATCTCCTGTTGCTTGCGATTTTTACGCCTAAATACATATATCCTTCGTAGAATTAATGTTTATGTTGTTATTTAAGGCCAGGTCTTCCAACTCGTCACCAACACACATGTATCTTGTCTTCTTTTATTTAGCTCCAGTCCCTATTTTTCGTATTCTTCTATAAGCTCTCTAGTCATATATTATATATTCTAGGTCTTCCTTGTCTTGAGAGTTACTATCTGGACATCGGCGAATTATTCAGATAGGGTTAGGCTTATATTTTAATTTTTGCGGAACGATTACAATAAAAGCTGTACTGCTTTTATTAGTTTTATATTTATTGGGTTTTTATCTAGAACTTCCCAGAGTTTCTTAATTGGTACAATATCATAAGCCTTACTAAGGTCTACAGACAGAAGATGAATTTGGTGCTTATTTGTTACCGCCTTTTTCTCGATGATCGGAGTTATTGGAAATATATTATCAATGCATTAGCGGCCTGTCCTGAGCTCTGCTTATCCTTCAATCTCATGGGAGCTAAATTCGTCTTTTAAAATACTAGGAATTATTTTCAGGAATAATTTATCTAATAGCAAAACCATTTTAACAAAAAAATAGCAATTAAAGCAATAAAGCTTGATAGAAAATATCTTACCAAAACATAAAATGGAATATATACCTACTGTGCTGTGTCTATCTAAGCTGTAATAGACAAGGATTCATAAAAGACAAAGATAGCATTAGAGATAGTAGAGAAAAATATATCTAGTTTTTACTCGCTCTGTTCTCATATTAGTAATAAGGGTATTTTAATATCATTAATTTCATAGAAGACACTGTAATATCTATGCTAATGGATATAAGTGTTAATATCTATGCTAGTAGTTAAAATCTATGCTAGTGGATAAATTGTAGTTTTGCATCAAGAACAGTTAACCTAATAGGACTGTTCATTCAGCCAAAAGTGTCCGCCAGGTGCATGCGAAAACTACTCGCTTTGTGACGTCATTGTAGTCCTTGTCATGGTTATTAGTCCTTATCCGGCAACCAATAATACACACGTGCATTATTGGTTGCCGAATGCAAAACGTTCATTATTTAGTTTATTTATTTAAACACCTTATATGTATGCAATATAGAAAATTAACTGTATAAATCGTATTAAATTCTCGGATAATGCATTTTTAAGAACAGCAGTCCCCAGCATCACCTTTTGCAAGCATTCTTTTTAGAATGCTTACCATATTTTGCTTTAAAATAATTAATAATTAAAATCGTGGGCACTTAGTAAGCACTTTGTCACAATCCACAACACAAAATGAACGTATTTATACACTCAATAGCTTTAAAAACTTTAAAGACACCTTTTTCACATTTAAAATTGACAAAATAATTAACTCAAAATTTCTCAGCTGTTATTTTTATAGGTTTACTATAGGTAACTAATAATACACACTATCATGACAGGCTTTAACAAGGACTACAATGACGTCACAACTGTCAGCTGAAGCGCGGGAAGAGGCAAACATACTCTCGTCTTATGAGGATGAGCAATCCTATTAGTTTACCGTTCTTGGTTTTGCATTATTTCAGAATTTTTCAATGTGAAGATAAAATCTAATAAAGGCCATCATAAAATTGTTGATACTATGGCATTTCTTAAATAAAAATTATATTACAAGACCACTGAGAAAATTAGTAATATTAATTTAAAATATTAATTTAGAATAAAATTATATTCGAGTATTTAATAGCTATATAAATCCTACAGCTAATACATGTGATTAAAAATTAATCTCCTTAGTACATGTATATATTGTTAAGCGAGGGTACAGTATTATGCAACATTAATTTTATTTTTTAATACCTAGCTTATCACCTACGGCGGTACTATTACTTCAATAAAAGTACCAGATAGGAATGGAAAAGTTGCAGATATTATTACCGGATATGACTGCGTCGAAGGATACCAGGGAGCCAATAACCCCTACTTTGGAGCAACAATTGGAAGAGTGGCTAACAGAATAGCAAAAGGAAAATTTGTAAGTTAGATTAATATTGCATGCTACTACATTCTACTATATTCCTATAAAATTAGACCATAGATAATGTCCAATACAAGTTAGCAACAAACAACGGTCCAAATCATCTACATGGCGGCCTTCAAGGCTTCGACAAAGTTTTATGGAAAGACTACGTTAACGGAAATCAGGTAGTTTTAACTTATCATTCAGCAGATTTAGAAGAAGGATACCCAGGTATTAATAACTCATTATTCCATATACCTACAGGAATTAACCCAAAAAATATTTTATTGCAGGAGATCTTAATGTGACAGTTACCTTTGAGTTAACATCGAACAGTGAATTTTTAATCGACTACAAAGCAGTAACCTCCAAAGCCACTCCAGTCAATTTAACCAACCACGCATACTTTAACTTGGGAGGGCATGGCTCAGGAGCTCAAGAGTTATACAAGCACGAATTTACCATCAATGCTGATAGGTATACTGAAGTGAATCAAGAGGGAATACCAACAGGTATTATTTAAAAAGATATATCAAACACAGAATAATATACTTGTGGCTTTCAGGAAAGATACCTACGGTCTCTGGAACCATTTTCGATTTAAGAGTGCCAAAAGTTTTAGGAGATGTTATATGTAAAGTTCCAGACTCCCCAGGATACGATCACAACTTTGCTATTACCAGAGTACCTACTTCGGTATGACTGTTATGTTTTTATAATAATTGTTTATCTAAACTCAAAGTATTTTTCCAATTAGGATGTAGTATTTGCGGCCAAAGCATACCATCCTCCCAGTGGACGAGCTCTAGAAGTATACACTAACCAACCAGGTATTCAATTTTATACTGGTAACTTTTTGCCAGAAGATAACTCCAACCAAGGAAAAGGAGCGACTTTTCAGAAACATGGAGCTTTCTGTTTGGAAACTCAAGTATATCCTGACTCTATTAACCAGGTAAGAGTTTCCCTTTAAAGTGGGAATTAAAGAATAAACACTCTTTTTTTATTTTCAGAAAAACTTCCCGAAAGTTCTGGTGTATCCTGGCGAAGTGTATCACCATTTTACCAGTTTGAAATTATTAACCCTGTAAAATAAGACGTGATACAAGAAAATAAAATAAAATAAAGTATTTCTACTATATTATGTTAATATAAATAAAAGTTGTATTTTTTAAGAGGGAGTTTTTTTGTAAGTCTTGAGATATGGATGACTGCTACACCGAGTGATCGAGAATAATTGAGACTAATCGGTTTGACAGTTGTTTACATTTCGATTCAAGCTTTTTCTACTCTTTCTTCTATCTAACACGACATTACGAATCGTTAGCTTTTAAATCTAGTAATTTAAGACTTTTAAATTACGTATTAATCAACATTTCATAAAGTTAAATTAATATAAAAGACGTAGAAGTTTTAAAGATACAATGTCCTGTATGTCAGAAATATTCTCTAACCTATTGTAATATTTTTATATTATATACATATATATATATATATATATATATATATATATATATATATATATATATATATATATATATATATATATATATATATATATATATATATATATATATATATATATATATATATATATATATATATATATATATATATATATATATATATATATATGTATAATATAACTGCTTATTCTTTGAAACTACAGAAGCTATTATAAATGTAATGATACGCCACTGCTTATAACAACTCAAATAAAAACAAACCTAACTGATAACGTCTACTGAAATTAGTTGACAAGTATTATATAAGGACGATATAAGGCTCGCTTACCTTATAGTAATAATCAGGGTAGTCATTGACGCATACAGTTTATCGGCTTGTTTTTATTAATAGCGAAATGGCTAGCTCTGTAAAGTTGGAAGTGGACAATTTTGAAGTACTCCAATCAAAATCAGAAGAAAAAAGTCAAGTTAAACGATTTACTTGGACAAATAGTAACAAAGTTGCAGTTCAGGTATGTGATATTCTATTTAGAAACATATGTTCAATTTATACTTGTTATCAACGTTTAGAGTAGTTCAATAATAGGCTTCATGTTTGAAATTTTCTATGGACTTTATTAAAGATGATGCGAATATATTTTTAAATCTTCATGAAGATTCAAATTTACTTTCACACTAAATTTAGAAGTTTTAAATGGAATGGATTTTAATCAACGTATCAGAGAAATTATTCTAAATTCTACTTTCATAATATCTATCAAATGGTAAAACTATTCTCAAAATAAAAGATTTCCAAACTTCAAGCCAAACATTGCTTTAAGCACACTCAAAAAAATACGAATTTCTTGGTAAAAAAGATCTTAACAAAACATAAAGTGGGACAAATATTTTATTTATCTATGATATAAAATATAGGTCGTTTCATTAGATATAGAAGAGAAAAGTAAATTTAGTTTTGAATCGCTCTGTATATACATATTAATATACCGTATATGATCAAGCTCAAATGAAACATTGCGAATAGCCAACAGATGTTTTTTAATTGGCTGTACTTAAACTGCCGTTAAACGGTAGCTTACTAAAATGCCGTTAATAGGTATGACGTCGTTGATGTGACGCACTTGACGGCTTTATGAAATATAGGAATTTTATAAGGACTAACCAACGCTATCCACCCCACCAAATAACCAAATAACCAATGAATTAACACCCTCCAAATAACCACGCTAACCAACCCGCTAAATAACTAAACCAATCCAACCAAAAAGAGTGAAACCAATGCAATAAGATCACGCTATAAGCGAAAAAATATAAAAAAAGTCTTGGTCGGCGTGAGATTTGAACCCCGGACCATTCGCTCACGAAGCGATAGCCTCAACCACGGAGCCACAGGTGCTCTTGCAAAATGCTTATGGCCAGGCATTACGTTCCGCCGACATGAACGACGTGACAATATCTATTAACGGCATTTTAGTAAGCTACCGTTTAACGGCTGTTTAAGTACATCGTTTTTAATTTAACATTGTTTTTTTTTAATTTTGGAGATTTAGTAGAATTTTAATAAGATATTTGCTCTGATTTAGTATAGGACGGTTTTAGATTAATATGGTAAAGAGTTGGCAACACTGCCCCTAATATCAATGCTAATGAATATAAGAATTAATAATTGGAAGTTTTACATTATTGGTTAATTTATCAATATGAAAAAAATCTAAAAAACAGCATACTTCTAAATAAACTTTTTAAAAATTTTGATATACTAAAATTTCCTAAAAATAAAAATTATATTACAAAATCACTAGTATAGGGAGTAGATTAGTAACATTAGTTTAGAATAAAATTATATTTGGGTACTTCTAAATATTTAATATAATACATTCTACAACTATGCATCTGATTAAGAGTAATATTAATAATATATCTTTTTGAGAGTGTACAGATATTTTGCAATATTAATTTCGTGTTAATACCTAGCTCATCAATTATGGCGGAATTATTACATCAATAAAAGTACCAGATAGAAGTGGAAAAGTTGAAGATATAGTCACCGGATATGATTCCGTTGAAGAATATCAGAAACCCAATAACCGTTACTTTGGAGCAACAATTGGAAGAGTAGCTAACAGAATAGCAAAAGGAAAATTCGTAAGTTAAACTAATATTGCATTTTGCTATATTCTATAATATTCCTATATGATTAGACCGTAGAAAATGTTGAATACAAGCTAGCAACAAACAATGGTGCTAATCATCTACACGGCGGCATTCAGGGCTTCGATAAAGTTTTATGGAATTACTACGTTAACGGAAACAAAGTAGTTTTAACTCATCATTCAGCAGATTTAGAAGAAGGATATCCAGGTATTAAGAATACATTGCACAAATACATGAATTAAACAAATACTTTATATTGCAGGAGATCTTACAGTAACAATTACCTTTGAGTTAACTGCGAATAGTGAATTTTTAATTGACTACAAAGCAGTAACTTCCAAAGCCACTCCAGTTAATTTAACCAACCATTCATACTTCAACTTAGGAGGGCATGGCTCAGGAGCTCAAGAGTTATACAAGCACGAATTTACCATCAACGCTGATAGGTACACTGAAGTAAATAAAGAAGGAATACCGACAGGTATTATTAAAAAAAACATCAAACTCAGAATAATATATTTCCGGTTTTCAGGAAATATACCTACTGTTTCTGGAACCATTTTTGATTTAAGATTGCCAAAAGTTTTGGGAGATGTTATAAATAAAGTTCCAAACTCTCCAGGATATGATCACAACTTTGCCATTACCAGAGTACCCACTTCGGTATGCCTTTTATGTTTTTATAATAATTGATTATTTAAACTCAAATTATTTGTCCAATTAGGATGTAGTATTTGCGGCCAAAGCATACCATCCTCCCAGTGGAAGAGCTTTAGAAGTATACACTAACCAACCAGGTATTCAATTTTATACTAGTAACTTTTTGCCAGAAGATAACTCCAACCAAGGAAAAGGAGCGACCTTTAAGAAACATGGAGCTTTCTGTTTTGAAACTCAAGTATACCCTGACTCTATTAACCAGGTAAGAGTTTCCCTTTAAACTGAAAATTATAAAATAAACGTTCTTTTTTATTTCCAGAAAAACTTTCCGAAAGCGGTGCTTTATCCAGGCGAAGTTTATCATCATTTTACTAGTTTTAAGTTCTTAACAATTTAAAATAAGGCGTAATGCAAGAACAACAATCAAATAAACCTATCTCTACTATATGGAAAAATATAATTTATAATTTTTAAGTGAGAGCTTTTTGTGAATCTTGTGGTACCTACTGATTCTTTGTGGTGATTTGTCAATTGCGGAAGATGGCGGAGTTCCAAACCTAATTTATTTAAAAAAAATATTTTCTGTATATTTTTTTCCTTGAATTTTTCCGATATTTATCTTATCGTCATCATCCTTAATCATCGTCATCATCCTTTTCAGCTTCTTCAACCATTTCCAACTATGATGTAGCCTCCCTCACATATTTAGATACTCTCTTTATAGTTGGGCCCATTGTTGACAAATGTTGGCTATGCGGGCCGAAGTTATCCCTGCTAATTTCCTAATATTATGGTCCAATCTCCCATCTCAGGTTCGATCTTCTTCTAGGTCTCTTAATTCCTTGTGGGTACCATGCTGTAATTTTTGTGGTCCATCCGTCCGTCCTTCATGTCAAGTGTCCTGCACATTGCCAGTTGACGAATTTGACTCTGTGAATGACATCTATGACTTGGTCCCCTTTTTATTTAGTATAATGCGCTTATCATGTTTTTCCTCTGGACCCTTCATATGCAATTAGCATGAGTTAAAGTCTGTCCAACGAGTCGGAACAGATAGCATTCAAAAAATGACAGAAAATACAATTTACTTGTAAACTAAAATGAGTAAGTAATAAAAGAGTAAGGTAGTGTCAAATCCTTAACATCTAGTGTCTTGACTCAACCCTTAATTACAAGCGTTTTGGTAGGGTGTTGATTTATAGGGCAGTTAAATATATCATAAACAGCACACGATACTCGGGGCATGCCCGATGCCATTGTAGTGGTGGCCTGGCGCCTCCACAAAATTCCTACGTTTTCTAGTTAGTTATACTCCAATACTTCTGTTCTCCTTTAATGAGTTCAACAATAGATATGTGATTCAAGTAAGTCTTTTATAACTTCCTGATACACATCATTAAATTCCTCTCCAGGCAACGACTTTTCTAAATCAGTAATTGTGGGTGTTAATCCCAAGTTATCCCTCTTGGTTATTCCCAGCACATTTCGTTCCATTGAGCGTTGTGCGATCTGCAGTTTCCTTATAACATCCGTTTTACATGTCCAGGTTTCGTATTCATAGATCATGACAGGTAGTGATTGGTTGAATGTTTTCTTCTTTAGATTAAGTGACGTAACTTCCTTCCTATAAATGGTGTAACTTCCTTTAAATATTTTAAATAAGTATCATCTATAACAAAAACAATTGTTTTTACAATATCATTCAGCCATAATTGCTTATATGAATCGAAGAACACGAAAAATCGGTATTGAACCAATGCTTTTAAATATGATCAAATAGCAAAATAATTGGTTGTTTAAATAAAATTATAAAACTTCAAAAATATTAATTAAAATAATTTCAAATTATAAATAATCGCAAAATTGAAAGTCGATTACTTCAAACTTTTTTGCCATTTATTTAGTTTTTCTAGTTTTGCCAGAAAATTAAAAAGCTGCACTACACATGTCTTTCCTGGACTTTCCCAGTAATATGGAATAAGACTGGTAACATGACTTGAATGAAAAAATAAACAAATTTAAATAACGTTTATTTGCTATAATATCGTCCTGAGGGACTGTCTAAACAAATTTGTAGAAGGACAGCATATCTCTATTTTTTATAATGTGAAGTTTATAGACTAGAATACGGTAGGATTAAATATGATTTGTTATAGTTAACCGTTAATGACGTGAAATAAACTTGTTAATTTATATCGGAATGTTAAATGGAGTAAAAAGCTGCCTTTTCATGCGATATCCTTTTCATACAAATAATTAGTAACTGTTGAATCACAACTAGCCTTTTGATTTGAGATAAACATTGCATTGCTTCTCTTTAATAATTATTTCCAGTATTTGTCGGTCTTATACCAATATCAAAAATTGTCTTATATATGAATTCACCTCTGAAGTACACATCTGCTATGCTTATTTGTATTATCCTTTTCATCTCAATATTTTTACGTATCAATCTATATACTTTCTATTTTTTAAATAAAATGATAATTTTATACGTTATAAAGAATTACTATTTAATATTATTGATAGACGCTACAGCTTAAGTATATGAGATTGAGGACAAGTGTATACAATATACCCGAGCGACATTTCTTTGTTCGATTTGCAGAGAGCCATGCCAATAGCTATATATTACTAGAAAAATGTGTGTGTGTGTTTGTACACTCCTCCTTCAATCCACTCAGTCAGTGATCGACGACCAAACTCAATTGCCCCAGCAGACAATAGGATTTAGAAACCACTATCTGCTATACATATTTATCGCGTACTGTTTTAGTGGATGATACGATTGACTTTTTCAAGTTCCGTATATCTAAAGTCTGACTTTTCCTCACAAAATTTGTCAATTAATATGCTGTGTCTTTCTTTATTTATGTCCTTCCTGCTGCATAAATATCTAAGACATTATTTGAGTATATATCTATTTGTTCAAAACTTTTGAACTCGTAATGTAAAATAAGATTTTCTAATTACTTCACTGAATCCTAATTTGCAACGAGTTTAGTCATTAAGATAAAAAATGAAATCTGAATGATGATTTACTAAAATAAAGCCACTTAAAAATGTTTAGGTCATTATTGGAAGACGTGATGGAAAAATATTTCAGCTCTCAACTACGTTTATTTGTAGTGTCTCTTCTGTTAATCTTAATAAAGATTTAAAAAGTGAAATTGATAGCAATGAAAACTTTGTATAATAACTACAATAATTATATATACCGGGTGTTGCATCGGCGTAGGAAATATAAGAAATCCCATTCAAATTTTAAACTGTTCAAATATTGGCTCCCCGATTTACCTGATGTCAAGGGGAGAATACTGTCTCCTCAATGAACACCTTAGTGAGAGCAACCACCAAAGTGACGTAGCATCTGACGTGGCACATAATCTGGCAAGTAACATGCATCTAGCAAGTTACGTCGAATTGAACAAACGACAATAAGTGTGTCAGCGCACACTGAAGTAGCGCTGTTAGAAACGTGTCATTTGTCGTTGTAGCATGCCATGCCACTGCTTTAAAACTAGAACTGGTTCTACTTTTCGCCACGTCCTATTAACACGTTACTCGAATTTGGCAAAAATGAAGGACGATCCAGACTTCAATATACGTCTTGTATCACTGATTGAGAATAAACCCATGCATTTATGACCACACTCGTGCCGATTATTCCAACAGGAATAAACAAGAAACAAAGGTTTCTTTTTTCATTCTATAAAATGCTTGAAATCTTTCAGGATAGATATTCAATTTCTTACAAACACTAAATCCACTGTTCCTTTGTCTCTTTTTGCAAAAGGGCTGTATCCAATAGCGACACTATGGATAATTTTGGTTCATATTAATTAGGTTTACCACTGCTAACAAATCTTCATCCCAGCCTTCAAAGCCACATCACTTATATGTGCGCTTCCTGAAAAATCATGCAACGCTATTGCTATATCATTGCCATGTAAATAAATAAATAAATAAATAAATAAATGCCTTTATTGTCAAAAAATTTTTCAATTTGTAGACAAAGGTAAATTAACAAACAAAGTAAAAAAACAAGGTACACAAACAAACAGACAAAAGATAATACAAAACATTATACAAATAATATTGTCAGTCTTATTGTTTAAAATAAACATTTATAAATGTTTAAAATGTCAAAGAACAAAAAAATAAAAATAATATTCAAAAATATTTAGTTAGTTTATAGTAAAATATCAATGACCTCTAAATATATTTATTTCGTTGTCATTAGTAAATATATAGCCATGTATGTGCAATGTCATATGCTACGTCACTTTGGTGGGCGCTCTCCCTTAGTAGATCAAAGCTAAGAAACAACGGCGAATGCATATTATACTGTGGGGAAAATGGGGATACACTAGAATACCTCATTACTGTGTGCGCCCCGAAGACAACCATTCGTGTCATAAACTTTGGTACGACTGATATCGGAGATCACAGATACTGGTTTTTGTCAAAACCCTGAGACTGTTTTATCAAACAGTAACAAACAGTTATAACTTATCAGTTATAACTCAAGAAAGGGAGACCCCTCAAGAAAGAAGAGACTCAAGAAAGGGAGAACAATAGATCTAAGAGATAGCTGTGATTATTTAATATTTTTCCATATATGAGCCACCCGTGTTCCATTTAAACAAAATATCTTGAATAGTTTCGGAGATAATAGCGTTCAAAATTTTAACTTTCTTTTTAGCATTCAAATAAAATTTTAAAAAATATATTATGTGTCCAAGATAAGTATATCTCGAAAAGTATTTTAGATACGTAAAACGGTTCATCAGGAAAATTATTCTAAATTTATGGTGTACACATGAGAGGATTTCCAGCGGATGTACCGAGAATGTAGTGGATGTACCTAGGATGTACTAGAGGATGTAGGAGATGTACCGGGGATGTACCGAGGATGTAGTGGATGTACCGAGGATGTAGGGGATGTACTAGGGGATGGACGAGGATGTAGGGGATGTACGAGGATGTAGGGGATGTACTGAGGATGTACTGGAGGATGTAGGGGATGTACTAAGGATAGAGGATGTAGGTGTACACTTTTTGCCCTATGTGTTTACCCCTCGGATGAAACTTTTGTTAACAACATTCTGAGAACTCGAATAATGAATTGAATAATGACAAGACAAGTGACATCTGTCTAAAAAAGACAGCGATTTAGAGTGACAATTTGGTTATGTAAAATTTAGAGTAACAATTGTGATTATGCAAAGATTTATGATTAAAAAAACGATTTGGACAAATAACCAAATCTATTTTTTAAGGTTCCTTGATTAAAAATTAGTGTTCTTTGATTAAAAATTAGTAATTATTGTACACAACCATGGCATTCTAGATTGAAATATAAAATACATTTTTTCTGTAAACGAAAATGTTAAAAAGTGACATATGATATGTCATTCTATTCAGAGTGTCATTTTCTATCGAATAAAGTAAAAATATACCGAGGGTGCCATTTAAAAATCAAAAGTTGTAGTCATTTCGGGTGAGACAGGAAGTGGCCAAAAACAATTGAATACGTCAATCAATCCTAATTTATGTCATATACTAACATCTGTCATATACTATCCATCTCGTTTTTTTAACTGAAAAAATAGTTATACGAGTGAGACGCACTCGGTATAATTTGAGTTGAATAAAAGTTAAACAGCAAGTAGTAACATTGAATATTTATTCAAAAATACCACAGCTCAAACTATTACCCGAGCTATTACCTATAAAAAAAATATGAATAATAATTCAATAAAAAAATTACTACCTTTTTCTAATAGACGTTAATAGTTGACACAATTTGAATTTTCGAAAAATCAAACCGCAAGCGGTCGCCGTCCACTGTGCCTGTAAAAATAACATGCGGTCCTGCGGGGCGTTTGTATTTTTCGACGTACGATCGTCCTGCAATTATCTCCGACCGTTTCATACCGCCCATGGCTGCCGGACTTATGTTTGTTTCGATGAAATTATAAAGAAAAAAGAATACGAGACGGTTATTCTTAATGGCTCCAAGATATGGAGATGAGTTAATGGAGGAAATTACAGGTTCCACTTGCACCGGCCAGTTATCGTTAAATATCAGATCGTGCCCGGATTGAGGATTTTAAATCGATAGTGTGTGTAACCGTTTTTTCGGTGTCAATTTCCGAGACTGAATAAAAACGGGAAAAACAATAGTTTTACTGCAGATGCAGGAAGGAGAACTTTTTTTGCAAGGGGTTGGTAGAAAGTATAATGTTCGGCAGGGGGTTAATCACCGCGACCTTGCATATCTATTGTGATTGAGTTATAACTCCTCATACAGTCTCAGGACATTGAGAAAAGCCAGTATCTGAGACGGCTCCACAAAGGCCAGGTTTACGACCCGAACGGTTGCCGTCTCGGCGCACTCAGCAATAACGTGTTCATCTTCCTCACAAAATCTGCATTCGCCGTTGTTTCTCAGCTTCAACCTACTGAGGTGTTCGTTGAGGATACAGTGTCATGTTAGAAACCTCGTGACAATCTAGTAATGTTCTTATTTAAATTAAGGAAAATCTTGGATTTTTCTTGGTCGTAAGTTCTCAATAAGAGTGTCTTAGATGGTTGGAGGATTCCCATTCCAGGTTACGGATTGAGTCTTCCAGATTCTTGAATTCCGCTTTAAGTTGGTTTCCTCTTGAAAAGCAGAAAGGTTCTGGTTCAGTTAGTGGAGTGTTCGCTCCTTTTCTAGCTAGATCGTTTGTTTTTTCATTGCCTTTTATCACTTGGTGAGCGGACATCCAAAGTAGGAGGACTTTATTTTGTTTGCCTAATTTCAGCTTCTCTTTGACTAACTTCGATTTGATGGTTACTGAGTTGATCGCTTTTACTGCTCCTTTACTATCGGATAAGACGGCTATTTTCTGTTTTCGATAGTTCCTATCTAAGATAAATTGTACGCATCTTTCGATAGGAAGTGGTAATAAACCTTTTATAGGCGAATGGTGCTCGATTTTAAAGGATTTAAGTGTAATAAAAATGCATATACCTTCAAGTCAATATGCGTTCGGTAACTTAATAAAGCCAATAAGTTCTGATTTATAGAATCTATAAATTCGAGAGGTGTCTACTGGACTCCTGTGTTATTATAGACATAGGTATATTAAAATTAATTAAATACATATTAAAATAATTGTATTGATGGCCAATGACATTTTTTT